TAATGCTTCCTCCCCACCAGGAGATTTGCCCCATTCCAGTTTCTGAACCTTTAATGCCCCCCCTCCCCTGCCTCTGACCCCCTGCTCACTTAAAGGTTGGTGTGGGGTGTTTTTGGGGTGGGGTGGGGACGACCGGCCTGCCTGCCCACCCCATGTCCCCTGGCAGAGGGGGGGAGGTCTTTCTGGGGGGAGGGAGACCCCTTGCTGGGCTGTACCCCCGATTTGGGGAGGGTGAGCTGAGAAGGAGGGAAAGAGGAGGCCTGGGGTTTGGGGGGGGGTGTCTCCCCTCCCCTCCAAGGGCCCAGCCATGCCCCCCACCCTGGAGAAGCTGGCCAATGTCGTCCTGCGGGTGCCCAGCATCGTCCTCCTGGACCTGCTCTACCGGTGGGACGTCCAGGCCTTTGCCGAGCTCCTGAACCCGCGATCCCCGGACGCCCACCTGCGGAAGCATCTCCTGTGGAACCTCTACTACGCAGGTAAAGGGCAGGCCGGTGGGGCCGCCCCACCTGGGAGCACGAGGAGAGGGGACCTTTTGGGTCACAGCTGTCAAGACGGTCTTGGTTGAAGCCACCTATAACTGAGCATGTTGCGCATGTTGCCGGGGGGGGGGGTGGACTTCAGCTTTCTTTTAGAAATGTTCTTTTATTAGTATATTATAAAGGCTTTTTATTGCCACCTGGTCCTTTGAGCCCGATATGAAGAAGTGAACCGGTTGCCTTCTACACCTTATGAGGCTTCGCTTTGTGTGTTAAGCCACATCCATTAAGGGATTGGTGGCTGTTAGCTGACAGTTTTGAGTGCAATATAAGGAGATTATTGCTTTTTAAATGCCCTTTTTCTAAATGATAGGGAGTCCAAATGGGAATACATTGTATCAGACTAGGAAATTTCGCCTATGGATGGTTACATTTTTCTGTTGTTCCAAAATGCAAGCGGTTGAGATGGATAAGTACAGTACTGTGGTCAGTTCTTATCCAACTCATGTGGGTGTCTTTGAAAACCTACATTTTCAGAACACAGAAAAATGTGTTTTAAAATGGTTTCTAATTGTTTCAATTCTACAGTAAATTTCTCTGCTTTTTAACATGATCACCTTTGGTATATAATTATCCAAGCCTGGCTTTAAGAACCTGTTTTAACCTATAACTTTTATTCTTGTTGTGTTCTGCCTTAGATCGCATTTCTGGGAGAATGGCAAAATGTAAAATATATAAGTACATAAATGAACTGCATTACCTGAGGCTATAAACTGGCTTCTTAAACTTTAGATTATGACAGCAAGGGAAAACATAGTTTACAGAAGGCCCTGGAGAAATAATTTTAGTTCAATGTGCATCATAATAATGGACAATAGATTAATTCTATTTTGGGAAGACTTAGGACAGGCTTAAGAATTTGAAACGACAGGCGTGGAAAAACAGGATGAGGCTGTTGAGAATTCTCAACCTTAAATGAGATATTGGTGAAATTATTTGACATTTCTGCTTTAGGCAGACTTGATGGAGAATCCTGGGAATTTGGCATGACTTTCCCACAAAGAAACACACAAGTGTGTTTTAAATATTGGTCTCCCTCAACATCTAGGTCACGTGGTGTGTATGGTGGTTTTGCTGCTCCCAGTCCGGTCCCTGGTGAAGCTGTACCTCTACATCCTGACAGTTTTGCTGCTTTATGTGAGCCACCAGACTGCCCGGTAAAAATTCTAAAACTTCCCTTTGAGAACTAGAAGCAACTGATCTTGGTTTTCTAGAAAGGGCGAGTTCAGATGGTATGGAGTACTTTGGGATGATGTGGGAAAGGTTGCACACCGTAAGATAATTTCCTTGGAGAGTTGGAAGAACCTGATCATAGAGTTGGCTTCCTAGAATGGAAAGTTCAGGGGGTGCGCAAGGCTCCCGGTAGAGAAGGTTCGATATCAAAAGTATTCTTCACCTTTGCAAGGAATTAAGAGAGTCCTGGTTGTAGGAGTTAATTATTGCCTAAGGAGGCGGCATGTGGCGGTGCAGCTCTTTCTGGCTAATTTGAGAAGGGTCTCTTGCTGTGACCCTCACCCGCTTCTCACTCCCGCCAGTGAATAAAGGAAGTAGTAGGCAGAGAATTTGTTGAGTGGAAACTGTGGGGTGGGCATGAAGGCCAGCCTTGGAGGCTGATGGAAGAGGGATGGTCCATGGGTAGATTTTTGAGAATGACGCTGGTTCCTGCAGGATCGGCCGAGCTCTTTGGCTCACAACTTTCACGCTCGGAGGTTGCTCTTGCTTTTATGGGTCTTTGTGTGGTCTCCTTTTCCAGGGACTACATCCGCCATGAGATGGAACGTGATTTCCATGGTGCCGTGTACAGCGATCCTGTGGCACTCAGCTGCTTTGCCACTGCACTCACAAGTAAGGAGTGAGGGTGTTCGTCTGGATTACCTCGTGAGCCCGCCCCCAACTGCAGTTTCTTTGTTAGTTGAGAGCTGGTGCTGCAGTGAAAACCATTGGTTTGTAAAAGCAGGTTCGTGGTGGAGAACAGACCAGCAGCCGGTCTTAGGCAGAGCTGCAAAGGGTGAAGGGGCAGAGCAGGCCAAAAATCAATCACTGCTTGAGACTTTAGAGAGGAAGATTCTGCTGGTAGGCATGGGTGGAACGTACCAATGTTTTGACCCTAGTGATTAAAAAAATGGGCTTATATTACAAATATTTGTGGGTTTATATGGATTCTCTGCCAAACACACATACACATGCATGTTTGGTTTATTGTCACCTGGCAGCCCACAAATCAGTTCTGGTCAAAACTTTGGGTAAATTTCTCCAAGCTTGGGGATCCAGCAATCTGGGGGAGCTTGACCTGTTGCTTTCCAGTCTGCATGTTGCTATCCAAGATGGAGGAGCTGCAGCCCTTGGGGATGAAAAATGGAGACATGGGAGATCTGGTTGCTGAGGGAGGCCTAGACCTAAGATGGGCCAGGCGAGATCCTCCAGATGGACTCAAATTCCCAACACATTGGTAGCCACCGGGCCTCTTGCCCAGGACTTGCAGGAATAACCAAATCGGCAAAATCTGGGCAGCCACCTATTTTCCAACCGGGGGTAGCCCATCCCTTTGCAACTCATCCCGATGCTCCCTTCTTCTAGAAGGCCCTTCCCTTGTCCTTTCTCTCCCAGGCCAGGTCATCGTTGCTACCCTCTGTGCCCTTCTGCTGCAGACCAGGCGGGTGTGGCTCTTCTGCGCTCCCCTCCTTCCTCTGGCGGCCCGCCTGTGCGGCTTTCCGCTCCAAGCCCTGACGACGGTCAACACCTTTGCTGCCCTCCTCACTGCCACGGAGGCGGTCTATGTTGCCACAACATGCTTGTCGGTGCCTTTCCATTTGGCGGCAGCGGCCTGCAGAGAGATCACAGAGGTGAGGAGCAGAGAACACGGGGGGGGGGGCTCCAGTTCAGGGTCACTGTTGCCATTCCTCCGTGCCGTTTTTGTACTGATGGATGCTGCGTTCTCCTCCCAGAGTCGGTTATGTATGTACGTCATTCACATGGTAATATTTTGGTTTAGTTTTGCATCTGAGGCAAGCTCTAAAACAGGCCCAGCCATATTCGGGGATCATGTGGGAGCCTTTTCTTTTACAAAGCGCCGTTCAGCTCGAATGATGCAGAAAGCATGCTTGTGAATAGAGATGGGATGTTTGTATTCGTAAATGCCTGTTCCAGACCCAGATGGCCAGGATCCCCAGGCCTGTCTCCCGGAACCGACCTGTCCACTTACGGGTTGCTGCACAGCACACTGGGGCCGGCATCCTGCTCAACATGCCTGTCTCTGACGACGCCCGGCAACTGCGCTTTCCTGCCTCTCTGACCGCTCCAGACAAGTCTCCCAGCTCAGCTTCTCAGGCGCCAGAAGCGCCAGAAGGTGGAGATACCATCGCCAGGTTTCATTGGAGTTTTGGCTGACAAGCGGGACACCAGCCCCCACGTGCTGTGCTACGACCTGTAAGTGGACGGGTCGGTTCTGGGAGACAGGCCTGGGGATTCCGGCTACCTGGGTCCAAGATATTCGTATTGGTTGATGAATAAAAATATCTCATCTCTACGTGTGAACTTAAGAAGAGCCTTGAGCAGGGGTCTGATCAAAACCCTTTCTAGCCCCATGATCTCTCCACATGGTGACTGACCAGTTGCCAACAGGGACCCCACCAACAGAACATGAGTGCCCCCCTGTACCTCCGGCAGGTGGTCTGCCTTTGGGGGTCCCCCCCCTTTTTTCTTTTTCAGTTAGCCTGTGCTGATTCCATGTGAGACTAGAAGCCTTGCAACGCTGGATACATTCTTGTTTCTTAAAGAATAGCAATATAATAATACAGAGCAGATTAGTTTATAGACACAAGGTGAAAGGAGACAGCTTTCTGTGGCATCAGGGTGGAAAGTCATATCCAGCATTAGTTCGCTAGTGTGTCCTTTTGTCAAGCACATTCTGACACCAGTAGAGGCCAGGTTCCCATTAGATTTAAGGGACACACCATGCTTTTCCCTCTTACCTTGCATTTTCTTTCATCCTTCAGCCATCCATGTCCTGTTTAGCTCTCACAACTTAACATCCCCCCCCCTGCAACCCCAAACTTGGCTGATTTGTTTTGCTTTTTAAACTGACATTTTTAAGCAGAACCTGAGAGCCCAAATGTCAGATTTTGCATTTGGGCAACAATGTGATGGGCGATTGGAATAGAGGGAGCTGCCTTTGTGGCAGAGAGAGAGAGAGATGCATAGTCTCTGTGTATCGTCCACAGGTGCTGGGGATACCATCCAGAGATGAAACTTGCTGTGAACAGCACGTGCCATAACGGTTAGACGAGGAGGGGGCTGGCCACCTGGGCTCCTTAAACAGTGGCTGTGAAAAGGCCAAACCGTGTCGCGGGGGTGGATCTGCTGGCTTAGGTTTCCTTCTCATTTCCCAAATTCTGGTGGAGGCTGACCCATTAGGAGAGGTCGTAGAGTCACAGAGTTGGAAGAGACCATGGAGGCCATCCGGTCCAACCCCATTGCCATATGGAAACATCCATCAAAGCACTCCCGGCCGACAGCCATACAGCCTGTGCTTAAAAACCTCCAAAGAAGGAGACTCCACCACCCCTCGAGGTAGCCTCTTTTCACTGCCGAACAGCTCTGGTGGGGCGCTGCCTTGCCAAAAATTCTTGTGGGCTCTTGGCTTGGCATTCTCTGGATTTGCGAGTGTCGTGCAGTGTTTTAAAAAACAAATCTCAGTCTCTACTGACAATGTTTATTCAGTGACTCTTTCTCACTCTCTCCTTCTCCCTCCTTCCGTTTTTGTCTGCAGGTGCTGGAAGTGTATCGGCTGGTCTCTCTGGGGATGTCCCTCTGGAGGCAGCTGGCCGTCCCTCTCTTGTTCCTGGTCTTCTGGCTCACCCTGTTCATCCTGCAGATCCTAGCCTTGGCCTCTTCCTCTTCTGGCAACCTTTTGTCCCAGCAAGGGATCCTCTTCATCTTCCTCAGCAGGTAGGAAAAGGCGGTGGCTGCGGAGGGCGGGAAGCAGCGCTTTCAATGGGACCATCTCACACACACACCCCCAATGTCAGCTGGTGTTTTTCTGCACCTGCCCTCTTGTTCCGGTTCTCTTACCGGTTGTGCTGGGAAAGGCCAGGAGCCGAAGGGGCTGCTGTGAGCCCTGCAGCCACTGCAGGATGGGGGTGGGGGTGGGCGGAAGAGAGAGTCTCTGTTCCAAAGGCACATGGGCTTTGCTAGCCTCAAACTGAAAATGGTGCCCTCCTCCCTTCCATCAAGATCCCTTGCACCCAAAGCCAGCCAGGTTCTTGCGGCGCCGAAGGCAGAAAATTTCATAAACACCTCTCCATGGTCACGACCAACAAAGGGAACAACAATAATAAAAACCAGATTTCGTAAACACCTCTCCATGGTCACAACCAATTTTTTCTTTATTTATTTTATTTATATCCCGCCTATCTAGTCGATTGACCACTCTAGGCGTCTCACAACAAAGGGAACAACAATAATAAAAACCAATTTACAAAGAGGAAAACTTTCAACAATTGGGTAAAACACTAGGAGAGAGAAGGAAAGAGGAGTCAGGAATTAACTGGGGGGGGGGGGGGCCTGCCGAAACATCAATGTTTTTAGTTGCTTTTTGAAAATACCCAGCGAGGGGGCCGCGTGAATATCAGGGGGAAGGTTATTCCAGAGGCGAGGAGCCACCACCGAGGAAGTGGCAATCTCCGTGTTGCGCTTTCACAACACCCGGAGCCTGCACTCTGGGGCAACTGCTTCGTTCGTTCGGGCAGGAGAGGCAGCCCGGCTTGAGTCCCAGCACCGGAGATCCCTCTTGCCAGGACTAAGGACGGTACTGAAGTCTTTGGGAGGCAGAAGTCCAGGTCTTTCACTGCCGTGGACAGCTGTGCAGTCTGCCGTCACGCAAGAGTTCAGGGCGAGCGGCAGAGGAGCCGAGCTTGCAGGTGGCGCCACCTTCTTCGGGGTGCCGGAAGCTGAGCCAGATTGCCTGGGACCTGGGCGGGATTTCTCCCAGCTGAGTGAGGGAGCCTCCAAATGGCAGAGGGGATTGATAGAGAGATTATTGCCATGAGCTGCCTTAGGGCCCTTCACCTGTTCAGTAGTCTAGGCCACGAGGGGAGGAAGTCCTCCATTGTGCAGTGCCTGATGTACCTCTGGGGTGTGCTGCCGCAAGCCGTAGCGATGCGCAGCGGCTTAGACTCATACAGGACAGATGGATGAGCATCTCCGAGATTCTGTGAGTCCACAAATATGTGCTGAGAGTCAAGTTGCAGGAGGCGGCTATTGATCGATGCCCCTGGGAACAAGACGGAGGGCTACTACCGACTGCACTGAGATTCTCTCTCTCTCTCTCTCTGTCCCCAGTGTGGCTGAATGCTGCAGCACTCCCTACTCCCTCATCGGGCTCACCTTCACCATCTCCTACCTAGCCTTGGGGCTACTCAGACTTTGCAAGTTCTACCTGGCGGGCTACGGCGCCTTCCAAAACGGGAATGTGATGCACAGGTGAGACTGGCGTATGGCTTAGAAAGGTCCCGAACCCGGAAAATCCAAGGCTGAAAGTACCTCTGCCGCCTCCCCCGTTTGCTAGGAGCCTCGTGGGGCAGTGATTAAATTCTGTTCACAACCTGGGTTCAGGTCCCATGTAGCTGCCGTGAGGTTCACTCAGCCTTCCGTCCTCCCAAGGTCAGTATATTGAACGCTGTCTGAAAAACCGCTCTGAGAATTTGGTGGAAAATGGTAAGTCTTCTTACTACCGTTAACATGCTTTCCTCGCTGGCTTCTCCCAACACTGATCAGGCCCAGCCCAGTTTAGCTTCTGATGTCTGGCACCGCATGGTATAGTGCTAGGAAAGGAGAAAAATAATAATAAGAGGGCTGAAATTCAGCCACAGAGGCAGTCCTGAGAGCAGGTCTGATGTGACCCAGGAGATCTTACATGGGACCCTCAGCCAGTTGAGAAGTTGGACTAAGAAGCAGACAAGGCTGGGAGCGTCGCAAGTGTCTCGTGCTTCTGGGTATTTCTGCCTTGGACCAAGAGGAGCCTTATCAAGCCCTGTCTTTGTACAGACTAGTTTTATATTCTCTTTCGGCATACACAACTGTGTTGGCCCGCTGGCATTTTGTTTTCCTATCCCCGTTGTCAGGACCCCCTCCCCCCAAAAGGGACCCCCCCCCCAACCTCCGTCCTCTTCCTCCCCTTTTTGTCTTCCAGGGGCGTCACAGAGGGTGTGACCTTGCTCTTGCTGGCCATCCAGACGGACCTGCTGGACCTGCAGCTCCTCCACAGAACCTTCCTCCTCAGCATCATCCTCTTCATCGTGGTGACCTCCACCCTGCAGTCCATGATTGAAATCACAGATCCCGTAGTCCTGGGTCTGGGAGCATCACGAAACAGGTGACCTCCCCGCTCCGTCTTTGCTGCCTGGTTCTGGGGGGTGGGGGTGGGAGAACAGTGCTGAGATTGGGGGTATCCACATACACACAGGAGGGAGGAGGGAGCGTAGGAACATGAAAGGGGAGGGACCAGCACTCTGATGCAACATGGTCCATTGCCTGTTGACGAGGGGGGGGGCAAGTGCAACCCCTTGGTGACAGTTTGGGAGTGGCGGGTAGGGAGAACTGATGTGGACTTCCCTGTGAATGCTGGAACCAGAGAATTGGTCCCTGGATCTTCTCCCGGCGGGAGACAAGAAAACACCCATTGAGAACAAGAAAACACCCGTGTCGAGGCGGGCAGGACTTTTTTATTTGGGACCCCAGGAAGGTTACAGAAGTAGCTCCTAGTACGAGTTGTCGTGCTCACCGGAACTTCCATCTGGTGTGACGGAACAAAAGTTAGCAAACAGGGGAGGACTCAGAAAGTTCAAAAAACGTTGGGGGCATTATGTCTCTCTCTGTAGCTGCAGGACATTTGAATGAAGCCTCCTGGAGAGAAAAGCGGCCATCTGCAACGGATGGCTGGGATGTAGCGTTAATGCGCTTTTCCCCCCTGCGGGCTGAACAGAGTGATGGCTGAGATACAGGCGGCTGCCCGTTATAGTTTTCTAGGCACCAGACTTTTAGTTTGACGTGGAGCACAGAGGCACAGAGAAAACAAAGCGGTCTCTGTGGATCAGCTGAGCTGGAAACAATTTACCAATATATCGATTTAGGTGCAATAGCTACCAGGCTAGGGTGTGTTTCTCCCCCTATGGCTAGTGATTGGAAACAGTTTTCTCTCGTGATGCAACTTCCCAAACATCCGAACCAGGATGGGTAACCTGTGGATTCTGGAAGTTGTAGTCTAAATGAGTAGCTCTTTCCGTCTTTGCTTGCCCAAAGCTTTGAATGACCTTTGTCAGATCAGAGAAGGCAGGATTTTGATGGATCAGTGAACGATCTGCCTCAGTCTAAGGGAGCTTCTCTGCTTGGAAGGTGAGGACAGCAGGTTGGTTTAGCAAATGCTTTGTTTAAAAAGTGGATCCTAAAGGGGGGGGGAACCTGGTGAGGAGCCAAGATGGGGAGAGTCTTCTCCAGGCAGGAGAAAGACCCTGGCAAAGAGCCAAAAGACATCTCCTAGGAATGGTCTTAACGTGTCCCCACGCACCCCCATGGGGCTCTGTTTCTCCTGATTTTCCATTGCATCTCCGCCATTTAAGGGGCAGGGGAGAAGAATTGTATGACTCTTCTGCCTTCTCTCTTCTTGGATCCCATCCAAAACCGGCCCAGTCTCCTCTGGACCCTGAGGCAGCAGCGGGTGACCTCCGCCCCTTCAGAAAGCCACTCACCCACTGCTCTGTCCCCCTGGCCCTTCCTCTCTTCCCGTAGGAGCGTCTGGAAGCACTTCCGGGCAGTCAGCATGTGCCTCTTCCTCCTGATCTTTCCGGGCTACATGGCTTATAAGATTGCCCACTTCTTCCACATGGACTTCTGGCTCCTGATCCTGGTCTCCAGTTGTATGCTGACGTCGCTGCAGGTACCCCCGGGGACCCCCCCCTCCTCTCAGCCTCTCATGCACGCTGTCTCGGATGCTGTCTTTCTTAAGATTCAAGAGCGGCATCGGCACTAAAAAAAGGATTGGAAAGGAAGAGAGGAGACCTGGCCGCCCAGAGTAGACCTTTGGTCTAGACGGGCAGGGTAGAAATCCAATAAAATAAACAAAACAAAACAAAAAAGAGAGAACCCCTCTTCCCCCCCCCCTCCTTGCAGGTCATGGGGACCCTCTTCATCTACGTCCTCTTCATGATTGAACTGTTCCAAGATTCCCCGATGGAGAAGATGGACGAGATCATCTACTACGTCAACGCCATCAGCCGGGTGCTGGAGTTTCTGGTGGCCGTTTGCGTGGTGGCTTATGGCACCTGGGAGTCCATTTTTGGGGAGTGGAGCTGGATGGGGGCATCTGTCATCATCATCCACTGCTACTTCAACGTCTGGCTGAGGGCCCAGTCGGGCTGGAAGAGTTTCTTGCTCCGCCGAGAGGCGGCCAAGAAGATCAGCTCATTGCCGGAGGCCACCAGAACGCAACTGGAGAATCACAATGATGTCTGCGCCATTTGCTTCCAGGTGAGCAGAACATGCGCGTATGTGCGCAGACGCCTCTCTCCCCTTGTGGCCCTCTGGAGCACCACCACCCCCTTTTTCGTAGGGGTGTAGACTAGCCCTGGTTTGATTAGGTGGAGCTAACTGTTCCTGGTGGCATTGGACTCCAGGGACTGGATCCTGTGGTCAGTCTCAAATAGAGTAGACCCACTCAGTCATAGAACTGCAGGGTTGGAAGGAGAACAAACACCCAGGAAGCCCAGTATCTTATCTTCTCATTTCTTTTGAAGCAAAAAAAACCCCTCCTCGTTTTGCCGGGGGGGGGGGGGTAGAAGAGGAGGTCGTTTTGCCGGGGGGGGGGAGTAGAAGAGGAGAGATGCTTTTCTTAGGCCTCTTCTTAGAACAGTTAAATACTTGTCTTGAAATCCTCCCCTGGTGCACGCCAGCCATTCTGTGACTGGTGCCACTGGCTGCGAGTTCTAGTCCTACCCAACTTGGAAGATAGGTTCTTCTTCAAGCTCCAGGCTGCATTAGCCTTCTTTTCATCCTAGTGTAAGCTTCTGAATTCTCACGTCCTGTACTGGCAATGGTGGGGTGTGTGTGTTTTTTTCCTGGCCTTTTCTCCAATCTTGAGATGCAGACGCAACTGTGATGTGGAACAGGGAGAAAGGGAGAGGCAAAACTTCTTCCCCTGAGGAAGCCCATAGGAAAGGCCCTTGGAGCATGCAGTTCTCTTTGTCATTGCAAAGAAGCCACTGTGGAAGGGCAGCCCTGGTAGTAAAGTTGCCTCCTTGGGAAGGCAACTTTACTACCAGGGAACCCCACCTGCTTCCCACCTGCCTTCTCCTGATGCAAGACAGTGGTTCCAGTTAGCCCCTGTCCGAACTGATGCTGCTTGCCAAAGCAAGGGCGCCTAAGCCCGAGGCAACCCCAGAGTTTTGTTTTGCGGCCTGCCCCATTGTGTGTGAGTGTGGCCTTGTACAACCCCAGCCCACGGAGCCAAATTGAGGGCCGCTACCCCTGCCCTAAGGCCTTCGGCTCATTGCAGTCTTCCTCATCGCCAGCTTTCTTCCCACTGGACAGATGCCAGGCCTGTGCCTCGGACGCTCTGTTTACAAACACGATCCGCTGAATTCTGCCTCCACCCATTGCTTGTTTGCTTGCTTGTTTTATTTATTTACAGGCCACCTTTCTCCCAATAAGGCATTAAAAAGAATAGACCTTAAAACATAAGTGAAACATTAAAAAACAAACTATGCCCTAATCCAAATGCAATCGAATAATTAAAAGCAAGTCAACTTTAGAAGCTATTGTAACTCTAAAAAGGAGTCCAGGGACTCAATCATGGATTGCTAAAAGCCTGCCTGAAAAGGTGGGATTTCAGCTGTCGGCGGAAGGGCAAAAGGGGAGCGGAAAGCCAGCCATGCTTTCCGAGGGAGAGCATTTTGCAGCCTGGGAGCTGCCACCGAGAAGGCCCTGTCTCTCGTGTCCCCATCAGCTGCGCTTGGGCTGGCAATGAGACCGAGAGGAGGGCCTCCTGTGACCATCCCAAGGACCAAGAAGGCTCATATGGGGGGATAGTTGCATTTTAGGTCCTGCCTTGTCCAATCACCCTCTCCCTACACCCCATGCCATCCCCCACCACTCTGCTGTTGCTGGATTTTGGAAGCACACAGGATTGGAGGGTGTCAGTCCTTAGCTGGGAGACTGCCAGAGATGACCTGGGACCTGCAGGTAGGGCTAGGGAGGAGTCTTGCCTAGAACTCTGGAGAGCTGCTACCAGTCAGAGCTGGGAGTACTGCGGTGAGATGGGCTGGGGGGTCAGAGTCAGCCGAAGGCGGCTTCTCCGGTTTCTGCCTTTCCTAACCGTCCTTTTTCTGGGCCCTTTGCAGGAGATGGGCGTGGCTGTCGTCATGCAGTGCAGCCACTTGTTCCACGGGAACTGCCTGCGCAAGTGGTTCTATGTGCAGGACACCTGCCCGCTCTGCCACCAGCCAGTCGTGCCCGTGGCTGGCCAGGAGGACCGCCCGCCTCAAGGGGGTGCACAGGCCACGGAGCCTGCACCAGGGAGAGAGGAGGCTCCCAGCCCTGGGAGTGGGGGAGGCCCCCCTGCCAACCACGGTGCAGAGGGCACGGGCGATGGCAGGAGCGCCGAGGACAGTGACTCCAGCCGAGGGGATCCGCAACCAGCAGGACCATCCGGGAAGGAGCCGCACCCCTTTGGTGGATTAGGAGAGTCCCCGGAGAGGGGTCCCGGGCACGAAGCAAGGGAGACGTCCTTCACAGCGGCAGAAAGCGACCGAGGGCCTGACCGCCCTGCTCTAGAAAGTACCATGGAACGGCAGGCTGGAGATCCATGGGCCGGGTCGGAAGAGCCCAGGAGCCTCGGGCAGAACCCTCCCGGCAGCCGCTTTCTTCAAAGAGAGTCCGCCGGTCCTGGCAGCCGAGCGGAGAGCGACTCTCCTCTCCCCGCTGCCATGGGAGGTCTATCTGGGGACCGCCTCGAGGGGCGTGCGGCCAGCCCCTCTCCTGTCGACCCTCCCGTGGTGGCAGAGGGGAAGGAGGAGCGCACAAGGGCTGCCCACTGGCACCAGGGTGCCAGCCTTCGCCCGGAATCCTCCGTCAGGTCAGGTGAGAAACCCAAGGACTGTCTGGATTCTTGCACTTCCTTCTCTTAGCCTTCATTCGCCCTCTTTATTCCCTCCACTCCTTCACCTCAAAAAACCAAACACAACCCCACCAATGACATGGTTTGCATCTGCCGACGCTCTTTCCTGCTTCTAAGGAAGTAGCCACGGTTGGGGCAACAGCCGTCCGCTTTCTATTCTAGCAAAGAGTATCTGGTCTCTCACCCTGGTTTGGGACTACCAAGGGCTGAAGCCATCCTCGCAGGAGCTCTTCACGTGCACAGGGTTCTGTTTTAAGCCTCCTGTGCCCCTCGGGAGAGGTTGGGGAGCTTCCATTCCATCAGAGCAGCAAGCTCTGCTTCTCATAACACTGGTTCCCGTCTGCAAAGATTTGCGCTGGCCGCAACGCGTTCATGAAATCCTGGCCTTTTGACATCAAGGTGTGAAAATCCATAAAGGCAGCCGCCCTGACTTAAACCAGGGCATGGGAGTTGCTGCCAGGACTTAATTGTAATTCTTGCACTCTACCCATCGGGTATCTCCAGACTCGAGCAGGTGGGTGCAACGCAGGCGTTGGTCTTCCATACAAGAGAGAGACCCGACACCTTTTTCCAACACTGGTGTGAACACCTGAGAAGACAAGGGCTTCCTACTGGCCTTAGGGCCACCATTGACCCTGCGGGTCAACATCCAGCTAATTGGCCTATTCTGTGTTGAGACGACAGCCTGAAAGGACATGTACCACCACCAGCGATGAGGCCACGCCGAGCCAGAGCCTTGTGCTTGCCAGCCGAATAAAGCAAAGCTATGGTGTGAAATGACTGTGTGTGGCTTTCAAGAAGGAACCGGCCCAGTTCTTCACAAGCTGGTTTACCTTCAGATGAGTTGGAGCGCAACTCCTACCATCTCCAGCTGTTGTGAATGCCCTGTGGATGATGGGAGTTGTCATTCAACACAGCTGGAGGCCACCAGCTTGAAGAACATTGCCGTAGACCCTGATGCCAGAGAATAACTTGCAGGCAGGAAGCAGGGCAAATTCCTTTGAGAGAAGTCAGCAAAAGCAGAGTTTGTGTGTGTGTGTCTGTGCGCGCGCACACACACACACACACACACACACACACACACTCTTCTGCTTTCCTTTTGGAGGTTTTTTTTTTTTTAATGATGCCACTGTTTAAGGGGAGATGCGGAACCTCCAAGGGGTTACATCTAAAATGCCGGCTGTAGTCCACTCTTCATTTTTCTAAAGAGCCAGTCCTGCATAACACCGTTGTAAGACGGGATGCTGGAAAGAAAGCATGTTTCAGGGGCCGTGGGGGGCAGCGGAGAACACCCCCCAACTCTTGTCCTTCAGTTTTGTCTGAAGAACCCACTGAAGATTCCAAGGGTCCACAGCCTCTCAGACTTTTCTGTCTGAGACCCCTGGAAGAAGCAACATGGAGGAACTTGTTAGTGCATCTTGTGTGGAAAGCGATCCCTCAGCCGGGCTCACTTCTGTGAGGTGGGAAGGGGCCGTTTCATCCGTCAGCAGAAGTTGGGCATAATATGTTTTGGGCCTGGCCTGCCTAAACACACACACAAACAGTATTTTTCTGGTTAGGCAGACACAAGAGTACCGTCCAGCCGTTGTCACAGCGATATATTGCTGCCGTGTGGCCCAGATGGCTGGGGGGGGGGAGAATTCCGGTTCTTAAAAGGAGGCCCTGAGTCCTGGCAGCTTCCTTCCGCTAGATGGTGCAGCCAACGTTAGGGATTCTCTTTTTCTTTGAAGCACCGCTTTGTTACTCCGTCCTTCTGTCGTGCAGTGCCTGGCGGGGTGCCTGCATTTATTCCCTTGATAGGCATTTGCACATTCACTCATAACAGCCCAGGACTGAACTTAAGAGCCTGTCTCCCATCCAGGCAGGCCCTCGAGGCCCCTTCGGCTTCAACAGGAGGGCTGCGTAATCCACTCTCGGGATGTGTGCAGTAGCAAAATGCACCTTTCAGAGGCTGAGGTGAGGAAGACGAAAAAACAAAGAGCTAGACAAATCACGACAGCATCATCGCCAGAATGTATCACTCATCTGTTCGCATCCAGGCCAGATCTATCTACTCTAAAATCCAAAGAGTTTCTTTTCCTACTTAGCATTGTGTAGCCAAGGAAATGGGGAGGCAAAGCTGATGGTTATTTATTTACTGCTATGATCATGTACTCCTACCAACCCAGAAGTTCGAAAGCATGTATATGCGAGTAGATAAATAGGGAACACCTCGGTGGGAAGGTCACGGCATTCTGTGTCTAGTCGTGCTGTCCACGTGACCACGGAAACTGTCTATGGACAAACGCTGGCTCTACGGCTTGGAGACGGGGATGAGCACCGCCCCCTAGAGTCGGACACGACTGGACTAAATGTCAAGGGAAACCTTTACCTATGATCATGTAACAGCTTTCTGTCTCTTAAGAACAGTAGCCATAAGTGGGATGGCTCAACAAATGGAAAGGCATCTGGCTTTCTTGAACAATTTTGCCTCTGTTGACCACTCCTGGATGAACTTTGTAGAAGGCGTTCTGGAAGAGCTACATTCTTATCATCCACTCAACGCTGATCTTTCCTGCTCTTCACTTGAGTTCCACTGTAAAAACACACGCTAATTCTGTGCATGTACAGAATGCATTTTCCTTACCGCTGATCATCCACAGTCATCTCTCCACTTTGCTCCCAGATCTGAAACAGTCACTTTTAACAGGCATGAGAAGCAAGCATGTTACGCCTCTTATGGATTTGAGATTTTATCAGTTCTACCTCCCCCGGTGAGTTTCTGTTGCTGAGTGGGAATCGAACTCAGGTCTCTTGAGTCCCAAGTCCATTGCTCTATCCATTATACCACACTGGGTTTATTGTCTTTGTAGGCATACACCCAACCCCTTTTTCTCAAGACTAGGCTCCTTGTTTCTGGTGATCTCCCACTGTTAGGGAACGTTATCATTCCATAGCAATCCAGGAGGTGGCACCACTTCCCTATTCAAGGAAGGTTCAGAGGCTGGTAGAATTTTACCCTATATATTAGCAGAACAATATCCTACAACTGTACAGAGGGAAGGCGCTCCAAAGACCATTTAGTTCAGCAGTTCCAACTTTGGGTAACTATTCAAGTGTTTGGCAACTCTCTGAAACCTTCACCCCTCTCTGTGCCGGCAGAGGGTCCAAGAACACCCGGGTGACCCGAGGTTGGGAACCAGTGATCTAGTCCAATGCCCTGTTGATGCAAGAAAAAGGTATAAAACTAAGAGATTGCTGTTTTTTAAAAACAAAAACCCTCCTTCAAGGAAAGAGAACAGTTTAGGTACAATCCCTTTGCTTGTCATGTGAATGTTAGTTCAGGTCCTGCCCTCTGGAGTGCCAGGAAGCCACCCGGCTGCCGTCTTCCACAAGACAGCCTTTCAAATGCTTGAAGAGGTTTATTGTGTAACCTCTTAGCCTTCTCTTGTCCAGGAGGAGCATCCCCAGCATCTTTCCTCATGGTGCTTGCTTTTATTCCCCCCTCTTCGCCGTTACCCATAATATCTAGCAGTGCCCTTGGTGCACAAGGAGGAATTGTTGACAAGCTCAGTTGAAACCCAAAGGTTTGCAAAGTTACTTAAAAAAATTTTAGATGAATAAACCAGACCATGTTACTCAGCATTTTGTGCTTTGGGGGCACAAGAGGCTGTCTTGTGTTTGGGGAGGTGGGTCAGAAGACAGACCAGAGATCATGGACACGTTAGGTTCTCCTGCAAGAGGAGAGGCCCGCTTGGCACAGCAGACGGGACTTGGTTGTAGGGCTCACTCATGGATCACGAAGCCTTGCTCTCAGCTGCTATCCCTTTGATGAAGTGAGTGGCATATACTGTATTTTTCCGTGTATAAGACTGTCATCGTTCAGTCGTGTACAACTCTTCATGACCCCATGGGCTCAGTCGTGTACGACTCTTTGTGGCCGCATGGGCCAGAGCACATGCCAGGCCCTCCTATCCCCCACTGCCTCCCGGAGTTGTGTCAGATTCATGTTGGTCGCTTCGATGACCCTGTCCAACCATCTCATCCTCTGTCGTCCCCTTCTCCTCTTGCCTTCACACTTTCCCAACATCAGGGTCTTTTCCAGGGAGTCTTCTCTTCTTATGAAATGGCCATAGTATTGGAGCCTCAATTTTTAGTCTAAATATTTTGTCTAAAATATACTTTTGTCTAAAATTTTTAGACTAAAAATTGAGGGTCATCTTATACACGGAAGTAAGCTGAGGAGAGAACAAAAACAAGTGGAGGGGGAAGCAGGAATCAAAGCGATCCTGCAGCGCTTTGATCCCTTTCCCCCTACACTTGCTAAGCCCCACTTAGATTTCTTAATGTCGGATTAGAAAAGTGGGGGTGTCTTATACTACAAAAAATATGGTAGCTTTTCAACTTAGGTTATTAACTAATTTTTGTATCAGTTGAATAGAGGAACTCCACCCAGTCCTAAAGATCCCCATAAGAGCAGTTAGGAGACACTTGAAGAATGGTCCTCAACGTTTCTCGCCTTGGTTAAAAAAAAAAAGCCCCCAGGAGCCAGCACATCAAAGTAGAGCAGGGAGTGGGCTAAGCCTGGCCATTCAGAGGTTTCTGGACTCTCAACACCCATCAGCTCTAGTTGGCATTGTTATTGGTGAAGGATGATGGGACTTGTAGCTTGAGAACATCCAAAGGACCACAGGCTGCCCACCCTTGAGTTAGGGCAAGGCGGCACCTCCTAGCCAACAGCACCTTTCCCTGTTCACTGCACATCCCAGGTGGCCAAGAGGAAGAGGGCTCTCCTACGGGCTGGTCTGCAGCCCAGAGTCTGGAAACATTATTTTTGGGGACTGCAACTCCCAGAATACCCCAGCCTGCATGGGAGTTGTCATTTAAAAAAAAGATTTCCAGGTTCTGTCCCAGTGCATAGTGCATCCCGACAAAAGAGAGATGGCCCCAGCGGCTGGGTGGGCCTCCCTCTGCACCCTGTGCCAGGATGCCCAAGGCCCGTGCCAGTCTGTGGCAGTGACCCTGGCAAAGAGTCTTGTGGCACCTTGGAAGGCTAAGAGGCATCAGTGTCAGGGCTCCGTTTCACTCCCCCAGGGAACAGATTATAGGAAGAGGGGCACCCTCTGCCCTCGCAGGCCATCATCTCAGGACATGCTCCCCTGGGAGTTTTAGTCTGGCAAATCCGGAGCGTGTACAAGGGTTGAGGGAGGCTGCTTTGAATAGAGAGCAGCGTTGCCCAACCTTCGGTCCTGGACATTTTTGCGCTGCAACTCCCAGAAGCCTTCACAACTCGCTGTGCTAACCAGGTTTTCTTGGGAGTTGTGGTCCAAGAATGTCCAGGGAACCCAAGGTTGGGAATACAGGTTGCTTAAAAAAAGGAAAGAAGGCCAAGCAAGAATTCATCCATGCTTGGCAATGTTTTCCTCCTTTAGGGAACTGCCATGCATCTGGCGAGTTGTGGCTAGGTCAAGTGCACCCCTCCAGATATTGTTGGACTACAATTCCCATCAGCCCTCGCAGCACAGCCAGTGGCACAGGATTCTGGGTCAGGACAGTTCTTTGATCTCCCTGGCGAGAGTTACCCTCCCACCACATCTGAAGGGAGACCATGGATCCTCTCCAGACCCTAAGCAAGGGTCCCTGAACCTTTATCCCCAAATGGTGTTGGACTTCAAATCCCACAAGGCCAAGCTAGCAGGACAGATGGGCAGGGATCCCTTGGCACACCCATTTGGGAACTCCTGCTCAAGAGGAGAAGAGCATTACATCTTCCTCCACAGTGAGAATACAAGGCCAGGTGTGTCGAGTCCAGAGTTAGCACCATTTAGATCAATAGGACTTCACACCCAGGTGTGTCCGTACAGGGCTGCCCCACACAAATACCACCCTAGCGCATACAGCTCTGAATGTTTGCAGCAAGATGCACTGTAGTTATCAATACATCACTGGGTTTTATCATTTTTAAAAATGGAAGCAATGTCCCCAGATATGATACAGAGCAGAGAATGGATGTGAAGGGCGCCGTCTGGTGCAGGAGGGAGAGTTAGATTCAGGGTAGCAAAGGGACCAAGCGAAGCTGGGGGGGGGGGACACATGCCTTGCACCACCTGCTCTGATGGCTTCCTGCGCCATCATGGAAATGGCCTCCACGGCCAAGCATGTGCATTGAGACCTCTCTTGCACCTCCCAAACAGATGGCTTCCTGCGCCATCATGGAAATGGCCTCCACGGCCAGGCAGGGTGCTGGCTGGCAAAGCCAAGAAAGCATGAAGCATGTACATTGAGACCTCTCTTGCACCTCCCAAACACCACGTTGGCCCCAAAGCTCACCCTTTCGAAGCTGCAACAGGAAACGTGATTCTCCAGATGTGGGCCTGCAGCTCTCCTTCATGCGCTCTACTGGCTGCTGCGACTGGTGGGAGCTGTGATGCAGCCACATCTGGAGGGCCACCGAGTCCCCACCCTGGGACCACAAGTCAATTCCCTTCTTAGCAGCGAGTTCTGGAGAAGAGACTGGATAGGTATTCGGGACAGCTGTTTGTTTGTGTGGATACATGGGATGCAGGGGAGCGCCTGGGCGGCATCCAGAAAGAGGGCTGGCCTTTGAAAAGCCCCAGCAGGTCCCCAAGGCAAAACCCACAATGCCACCCTCTTCAGGCACCCTCTAGCTGCTTCTTGAGGGCCAGACCCCACCAGGCCTCTTTGTCTTTCACTGAATGCTTTCCCAGGACCGCCGTGGGTTCTAGATCCAATCAAACAGGAACTCTCAGTAACAGCAAATATGAGTAAGGTTCCCACACATTGAACCATATCACAAAGAGACAAGACGATCTGGAAAAAAAAGACAATAACACTAGGAAAAGTTGAAGGTGGTAGGAAAAGAGGAAGACAATAACGCTAGGAAAAGTTGAGGTGGTAGGAAAAGAGGAAGATTGAGCATGAGATGCATTGATTTGATAAACGAAACCGCAGCCTTGAGTTTGCTTGATGGCAAAAAACCACCGCCGCCACCACCAGACGGGTTCCTCCAGCCTCACCCCTTCTCCCACTCCCCGCCCCCCCCTGCCACTATCCACTTCATAGGAGCCACCAGCTCTGCACAGGATGAAGCGATCCTGGCCCCCATACGACTTTGTCCTGCTCTGAGGCTGAATACCAAATGGGCCTCCCCTGCACGGCTGCCAATCAGGTGGCTCTAGACGGGGCCTGAAGGTTTTGTTTGTGGGAGTCGGATCCCGAGTGTCTCCTTCACGCGGACAAGTTGCCCTTTGAAACCCAAGTCTACCTGCCCGTTGAAAGGGACCCTTCCTCAGGACCTGGGATTTCTTTCACTTTGGCACAGAGGTCATCCTCCACGCACTAGGGTCCAAAGGCAGGGGGATTCTTGTTGCCCAGCCAGAAGGAACCCTTTGGTTAGGAAACAGGCGCAGAGCAGAGCAGAGCAGAGCAGAGCTCCTGATACAATCTGCGGAAGTGTTAGTGGTGTGTGTGAAAGAAGGGGACATGAGGGAAACTCCAAACTTTTTCCTGCTTTAGGCAAAACGACAGTGGAAGCCATGACCTCGAGGGGGGGTGGTGAGCGCTCTCACCCGGGAGGCCTTCGGGAGAAACTTAAGAGAACCGCCTGGCAGATCTCCTCTGATTTGGATTCCTGCATCGAGCAGGGGGGGTTGGACTCAGGGGCCTTATAGGTCCCCTTCCAACATCATGGTTCTATGGGGGGGGGAATGTTTTAAAGCAGTCGCCCCACCCCAGCCCCTGTGCAGAAGCCCACTGGACCAGCAGGAGGACCTCACTGGGCGCCACGTCGCACCTGGTGGGGGGCATCAGGACATGGGTTGCACGCACAGCTCTGCTCTCTGAGAGGACTTGGGTGGGTGGGGGCTTCAGGAGGGAGGCTGTTGATGTCGTTGTCCCCTAATTTGGGGGGGGGGTTGCCATCCCTAAGGCTTGCTGGAGCACGCCAGGCCCTCCAGGTCTCGGAGGACTGCAAGCCCTCACCCGTCTTTACCAGCCCAGCCCAGGCTGAGGGCTGATGAGGACAGCACAGCCCAGCAGGAACTTGAGGTCCAACACCTTGTCCCTTGATTGGGGGGGAGGAGGGACGATGGGATTCACTTCAAAGGCTTCCCAAGGAGAGGGGAGGCATCCTTTGGAGGAGCCCTGGAGATCTTACCAGTTTTGGGGGAGGAAAGGAATGCTTGGAGAGGAGAGGGTCTCCCCAAAACATGGATGTGGGGTCTGAAGACCGCTCCTTTTTCGGGGTGGGGGGTCA